TAAAATCCATGTGGTTTATTACAATCTAAAACTGAATCCACATCCATCCTGAATCCATTTCAAAATAATGATTCTATCAAAAACGGAGCAAAAGCGCTCATATGTGCTCACCAGACGCGCATCCTCTCCTCTCGACCGCGCCGCTGAACGTTCTTCATCATATATAACTTTCATTATAATGTTCATAGACTGCCATTATTCGAGCCGCCGATGCGTTTGTCTTCCAGCGTGCATTATCGCCTTCAAAACAGTCAAAGAAAACTACAAGACCCACGCTCAACAGCTCCAGCGCTGACCCGGATCCTCTCTCTCCCCCCTCCTGTCTGTTGACCTAGAGGTGTCAAATTTCACGGCTCTGAGTGGCTCGGCGCGCTTGAGTGGCGTATAATCTGACCTATTGCCACCCACTGAGCAGCCCAGAGTTGTAGAACATAAGAGCCGCTGGCCGAAGCTGCTATGATTTGGAGAGCGCGTGTTTGCCAAAAGAGCATCTTTTTTTTCTCTGTTGCGCTGCTGAACAAAACGTTATACATCTCACCGATGGAAGCACGCAGAAACGTGAAAATGGTCTTGTTTGAAAGAAGATATTCTAATCTAAAAGCTAATAAAGAGCATATAGATATTTTTGGCCGTTTGCGGCTGACTGAAGCAGTGCTACGAGTAGAAATGTAACCCATACGAAAATTTGCTTAGAGGTGAGAAATTTCACATCGCGATTCTATTGAAGATCATTCGATCTGTGATTGTCACACAATGAAATTCCTGAGAATGAGAGCTTTCTTGTGATATATGACTTTCACTGTTTTGTGAAAAATATATATATAAAAAAAATAAATAAAAAAAATACACATTCTTTGGAAAAATTATTTGCAATCATTAGGCGGAAATTTGTGTGTGGGTTGAATACATTTCTAAGCTTAATTTTACTACTTTATGTATCATAAAAAGTAATGTTATTCTTTGTAAAGAAGACACTCTAAGCTTTCAAATGATACCATATATGGGCTGATACCATATAAGGAAGGCTTTGCACCATATCCGGGTCCGCAGAGTTTAAGTAGTAACAGTGGTTTGGGCTGTGCCTAAGCCAGATTGACCAACAGTTCCACTGGCCCTGCCACAAAATTCATCAATTGCCATTTTATTGTGCAAAAGTTTATCAAAAGCTTGGGGTCAGTAATATTTTTCTTTTTAAAAGTATTTTATGCTCACCGAGGCTGCATTTATTTTGACCAAAAGTACAGTAAACACTGTAACATTGTGAAATATTTCTGGTAACATTAAAACATTTCTTATTATTATGAATGTTTAAAACAGTTGTGCTGCTCAAATTTTTGGGAAAACTTCAAAGTCTTTACTACAAAGACTTTTAATCAATTTGTTGCATCTTTGTTGGAAAAAGTATTGATTTCCCAAATAAATTTTACTGACCCCAAACTTTTGAATGGTTGTGCTCTGTATATTACAATATTTTTCACTCTACTGTACATTTTCTGTGTTATACATGGCTGACAGAAGAACGCTGAATTATTGCAGGTTTAATGCACATCCCTCTTTGTGTTATGGCCAAATTACCATCTTGGGTGCATTCAATTTTAAATAATTCAACAGTCTGGCGTCAATTATTTCAACAAGATGTGCTCCTCATCTAATTTATAAAATATTCCATTAACATTTCTAAATAATGGGTTTTGAATTTGACCGCACAAACCGTTTAGATAAATGATATTGTTTGATTACACAGTACTGGTCAAGAATTGAGTTTTGCATTCCTGGAATTTATTGGAATACTGTCAGGGAATAAGTAAAGCTAATATCAAATCTGACAAAGGGGGAATTTGGAAATTGTTAGACGCCTTGCTAGAGAACACAGCAGCAATGCCATACAGTCTTTTGGTTTAAAAAGTCAAATAAATTATAGCGCAATACTTATGATGAAAAAGTTATAAATTATGATCAAATTGCAGTGTTTTTTGGTTATCTGTTGTTACAGTAAGTGAAGCATGCCAGGATGTGATTTACAAACATGCTGTGCTCATCATTTGTTTTAATTGTCCTGAGAGCCTCATTGGTGCTGAGTCCAACATTGAGCAAGCCTGACACTGGCTGATGATGGAGTCACATAAACCCTTGAGCAAAAATGTAATTCTGAAGAATAAGAATACACCTTACAACATAAGAAGCTAAATCTAAATCGGTGTTTCTTGTTTTCCCACAGTGACACTCCAGATAGATTTTTCAGACTAACTCCAGACTCACTTCCATTTTTGCCTAAATTCCAGTCAGCTATGTGGATGACTAAGAATTGTTCACTTGAGAAGAGAATGAGTAAGCTTTAGCAATATGAGAGAGGCTACAAACACACACTATAGGAAGCTGAATGGATTGTGCACGGACCTCACTATAAAGCTCTATAACAAACATACTGTTAGTGTTTTAGAACATTTCCACACTATCAGTGTCCCCAGATTATAACTTCCCCAGAAACACCATTCCATCCTTCCATGAACATTCCATTAAAGCATTTCCTACAAGAACCCCCCTCGTCCCCCCCAGCTATTCAAAACAGTGTGTGGGGGGTGTCATTTACTTCCCAAACGTCACCATCTCCTCAACATGGAAGATTTGACCCAAAAACATGCTTCAACAAACATAAAAATAACAAATACTATAAAATGCAAAATAACTAAAGCTACTAATGCCGAGTTCACACTGCACGATTTTCAGACGTCGCATCACTGTTGGTTTCACACTGAACGACTATCTGGGGTAGCATTCAGTTGTTGCTGTGTTCACACTGCACGATGGAACGACGACAGGAGGTTACACACTGCATGACTTTACAATAGGAAGAATCACCGATAACACTGTCTGGTGCAGGGTTGCAAGGTTTTCGCTACAAAACCCGCCCAATTACTACTCAAAACTAACCTGAAAATAGCCCAATTGCTTTCGAGGGAGTCCCCCAGTAAAAATCGCGTTCGGGGGGTGAAATGCAATTTTTTTTGGCGGGGTTCTCCTGGTACAATTCACATTCCAGGGCCTAAATATCACGTTATTGGGGTCGCTTCAACCTGCTGACATGAAAAACAACCGGCGGCAATCACGGATTTGGCAACACTGGTCCGCAAACTACGTTTCATATAACTCCTCCCCGAACTTCCCGCTGCCCTGTATCATGCCCTCTCATTGGCTGTAGGTCATCGCCGATGTTTTTCAGTCAGAACTCATTTCACACAGCAGGATTGTGAATCGCCGACAGCTCCAGATATTTAGCATGCCAAATATTTCACGGGCATCGGCGACGCGTCGGCGATTCTCTCAGATCGCGTCTTTGATAATTCACACTGCGTGATTGTCACTCGCGTGAACGAGCACCAATTTGCCTCCGATTTCAGGCATTTGCCGGCGATTTCGCGAAACCTGTCGGCAAGTGAAAAATCTGGTGAAAAACCCCCACTATTTTGAGAAGATTACTTCATTCATTCTAAACTGCAGGGAGAAAAAAAAGAAAAAAGTGTGGCTTTCTGACTTTGACACTTCAGAGTGGGGGACTCCCGCTTTACTGACAAGAGAAAGGTGAGGTCATACAGTCAACAACAAACAATAGCCTACTGTAGATGTGTCTGACAAGCAGACGTGATATAGGTAGATTCTCCTACAGTCCCACACATTTTTATAGAACTTAAAAAAATTCATCAGTCACACCCCTTATGAATTAGCTATGAGAGTGAGCAAACATGGCCTCCCGAGTCCTGAACAAAGGTCATCTAAATGCTGATTATGACAGATCATCCAGACAGCCTCCTTACTGCTGTTAGGCTCTGCATGCATTCCTGAGATTCTATACCTGATATGTGCGTTCTCTTAAAATGCACAAAAGGAGAGATGGGAAGTTAACAGTTCTCTCTTGCACTTCTCTTATCAATCTCAGTATGAATTTGATCAAATGAGCCTGAAAGGGGTAATCGTTAAGTAAAACATTATTTAGATCATTCTCACGATGTTTCAAAAATATAAGAAGCAAAAACAGTGCTTTTTGTTTTCCCACAGTGACACTCCAGACATCGAAATCGACAAATAAAAGATTTAAGTTTAGTTTTAAACGCATTTTTTCTTTTTACAAAATGTCTCCAGTAATTAAAAGTAAAAAGGTAATTAAAAGGGTCAGCAATTAATCAGGACTCGTGCAAAATGGCATAAGTGTCAAAAATAATATATATATATATATATATATATAAATAAAAGTTTTATTCTAGACATGGATTCTATTCTAGGATTGGATTATTTGGGTTTTGGGACCTGTAGTTGTCAAATATCTGTATTTACTGTCTTAGAAATGAATGTTGCAAAAATGAAACGGTTTTTGATTGACAACAACAACAAAAAAAACTGAAAACAACAGTTCCTAAATAGTTCACTTCTGGCACTGGTAGGTAATCTTCTACTAGTAATCCATTTCAAACTCAGCATTTCCTCAAACCTGTCCCACCCAAACCACGCCTGACCACAAAGTTCTGAAGAGATGCAGGCCACCTGGCCACTTATAAGAATTTAGTTCCACTTCATTTGATTTTTTCATGATTGAAGATATAAACAATAGTTCGGTTGTGCAGTTCACATATATGCTGTCCTAATGTTGTCATTCTCCTGAAGGAGAAGCAATTGAGTGTAATCCTCTCTCTTTTTTTTGATTCTCACTAATCATACATGATTATTTTATGCAGTGTGTCATTTAAAATATAGTAAGAGGAAATAATGTGCCACGGCGCAGCAAAGTGCCTCTTTAGTGCGGGAATAGCACAAAGTTTATTATCCCAAGTTTACTTATTGGGGTGGAATGTAAACCCTTTCACCCAAAACCCCAGCACTGGCCTTAACTGAAATTGCATTGCAATCCTTTGGCAACACCATATTTTCCATACCAAGACTAATTATCTATCACGTCTTGCAACTAATAAAGCATCGCGGTTAGCAGACACGTCCATCAGAGCTCTTACCTGTGATAACCTCCCGTTTGCCTTCATCCAGATGAGTTGAGATCAAATCCCCCATCGCGCCGCTGTTAGTTGGCAAATTCAACTGGATCGGTCAACTCCGTCTCAGAGGAGCAGCTGTGTGTGTAGCAGCAGCAGCAGCAGCAGCAGCAGGGCGCTGGTTTCCTATGATAAGATATGAACTGAAGTCGACTTCAGCGGCTCCTCCCTCTTTTTCCCCAAGCAGTTTGAACGCAGGAAAAGTGGCTGGAGTTAGAGTTGACAGGCACCGTGTTGGATTAAGGAAGGCTCAGTTTTCCATAACTCTTGATTTAATGCTTCTTTATTGCTTCACCTCCAATTAGAGGCGGGGCTGCGCGTTCATTCTAAGAGCGAATCGGGGGGTTAGAACACATCTTTGAATGAATCGTTCCCATCAACTCAATACCGATTTAAATAGTTCACTTTTGGAAGAGCATTCTTTCTTGGCTTCAAAGGCTGACTATAGTACGAGAAACTGAGGTGACTAATAGCACAGATAGGTGCCTGCTGAACGAATACGACACATGCACTGAATGAGACATTTCGCTCATCAACACATTTAATAAACGAGGCATCTCGTTATGAATGTGGGAAAATGACTAATAATACACAAAAAGCGGGTATAATGACGTAACTGAAACTCCCAATTATCAAGCCTTTCGTTATTGTCTTTTTTTCCCCCTATATCTTAATTAAAGTCAAGAACAAAATCTTCCCAAAGATTCAAAAGAATCGAATCACTTGGAAGAATCAAATAAGACATACAAGTGTCTAATGCAGTTGCCGACACAACCCAAACCAGGTCAAATCCAATATAATTTAACTTATTCTAACAAAATAACAGTTTTTTAAAATAAACTCTTTAATTTGATTGGTGTTGATATTGGCAGTGATCACTTTTGATGAAGCGTAGGAAAGATAAATGCAAAACAACCGCGATTTATGTTCTTTTCATGTATGAAATAAAAGACAATTGTTTTTAAATAATAATTTTATAGGGAGATTTAAAGACATTTTAAATAGTTTAAATGAGTGAAGCATTTCTCTGAAGCGGCCATTTGTGTTGGGCAGACTAAAAAGACGATGTCGCCCTCTAGTGGTCTTCTGGTGTTCTTACAGAAGCTCAGCTACAGTAAACGCATTGCAACGCAATTATTGCGCAAAAACGTTAATTTTTCTAGACATTCATTTAAAATCACTTGCTTTTATAGCAGTTCACTGTATGCAATACCCAAAAACATGAGTAAAAAAATTGCTCACAAAACCAGTCAATGCTTCATTAAAAATGATAGAAGCTGCTGGAAGGCTATGATTAATATGCACAAATGTGTGTATAGTTTACAAGACATGGAGCATATGTCAACAGTGGAGCTGCGGAGGCGTGTGGTGGGATTAGGCATCGACGCAAGCACCACATCCCATTTACACCAACTGTGCTTTAAACGCGCGCGCCGCGCACTCTGAGTGCAGCAGGGAGAGAGAGAGACAACACGAGACAGGATGGCATCTCTGGGGCTCAAGGCGATTGTCGGAGAAAGTAAGAAATGTTTCGTTTAAGTTGATTTAGGGCTAAATTATTGATATATTTAAAAGTGATATTTCTAATTCGTTGTATAATTGATATTTCCTTATAAATGTGTACTTGTGTGTTATGCATTTTCATGGTGAGTGAAATGCTATTACACTATTCACCAACAATCTAATCCTCATAGAGTAACACTGCTCTTCTTGAATCCTTTAAACTGAACACTTTTATTCTAGTATATTGCACTGTGCAAATGATTGTGATGTAGCTAAAAGCACACTGGAGATTGGAGATACACAGTAATCTGTGTAGTCCTGTGGGATTAAAGATGATGGGGAGGTGCTGTTGTGCTGTTGGGTGGAAGCACAAAAAGTGGAAAATCTATCTATACTCCATCCCTTACAGACAGTTCTGACATGCCAGTGTCAAAAAATTGCCCTTTTTATTTATTTTTTTTTGTAGCCCTGGTTATTTTCTGGCTCTATGCAACCGTAAGGATTGACGAGATTTTCCGGTGTTCATAATGCACTCTCTGATTCTTTCTTTCATCACATCCAGACTGCACACTTTTCACCATTTGCCCCCTGTCATTCATTCTTGTTATTTTTGTTGCCATATATAGTGCTGGTGTTGATTCAATCCTAGAGATTCTGAGGGTAAACATCAAGGTGTGAATTTTGGTTTGCAAATGTGAAGATCAAGCACTTCATTTTCATTACTTCATCAGCATCAGGAAATAATGACACATTATAGCAAAATAGGCCTATGTCAAAGATGCTGCTGGAGGGTAGTCTATTTTTTGGACATATCGGTTTGTACTGTTAATATGATTTTTAATCAATCAGTAGGTTAAATTTTTACTAGTCTGCAAGTATCTAAAAGCTTTCAATCCAGTTTCCACCCTTTAAATATTAATCTCACCAGCAACTTTTTTATAAACAGACATTTTGCCAGACTGGATGTTGATTTGTTGTTCGACATTTTCAGTAGCCTGTGAGGTCCACAAGTTTATTTAATGCAACAACACCTCTGGGTGTTAGAACTGACAGATCCAGCGTCGATAGCTGTGAAATGTGACTGCAGGAAGCTGTTGCGTTTGGGATCTCGCCATTCAGTGGAGCTTTTAAAAAGGCAGTAAAAATGATTCAGGTCCACTGTGCTCACATCCAGTGGTAGAGATACAAAGAGAGAAAGAGTGAGAAAAAGAAAAAAAGGAGTGACAAAGAGCAGGAGAAAGAGAGAGAGGAGGAACAAAAATAGAGAGGCCGGTGGTGTAAGAGGATTGAGAAGAGATTAGGCCTGCGATTGCTGTGTCTCTCGCACCACATACAATATATATCATTTAAACAAATAAAGTTAATCATTTCCTTTTCTGCTGCCATAAAAGACCTGAACGGTTTTGATTTATTTTTTATGATTTCACACATTTTTCTTAATCATTAACTTACTATATCATTACCTAAACACTAAATCCAAAAGGGGG